CATTTCGTATGGGATTTGGCGTTGTTTCCTCCAATTTCTTTCCACTTTTCACGGCCATCGCCACACAGCCATTCGTTCACAGTAGCGTCAATTTCCGGGTTGATCCATCGGGGCTTCGCGGGAATCGGTGCCTCAGAATCGATCGATCCCCGCTTCCTTTTGATCATCGTGTTGCCCGTCTTGAATTTGTGAAACCATTCCTGTGCAGTACTCGTCTCAACGATTATGTTGCCATAAAATTGATTGATTTCTCGTGTTGCTTTGGCCGCTCTTGAAAAACGTTGGAGCAGTTGAGCATGGATTTTTTCTCGAGTTAGCTTCGTTCGATCGACTGCAACTCTCTTCTCGTGTCGATCCCTAAAAAATAAATGTTAGTGCGAGAATGCGAGAAAGAAGAAAGTTTTAGCATGAAAAAGAAAAAAAAATTCAAACGTTGTGTTGTGGGCGAGTACTGGACAAAATCAAAAAAAAAGCTCTGGGTTATTATGGGGCAACCTAAAAAAATCAATGTAACACTAAAACCTTCATTCCAAAACATTTTTCATCGTGATCAAGTTAGATTTTTATTCGATACAAAAAGTCATTGTAAAAACCTGAGAAAACACTGTAAATGGTATGTAAAAAGTTAAAAAAACAAGAAACTTTGTGAAAAAGTGAAAGTTTGCATTATTAAATTTCAAAATTTCTGTTGTTCAACGCCTTCTGGATTCCTTGAAATTTCTTCTCCAATCCTTGATCCATTTTTGTGAATTTCTCACAATAGGAGTCAAGAATCGACTAGAATTTTTGGGGCATGAAGTAAAATGGTTAACATTTTATGATTTTACCTCGCCGGATTTTCTGTAATTTCGGTATTTGCTCGATCATTTCGGAGAGTTCATCAAGAAATCCTGAAAGAAAGCTTTCTTGATGGGTTTTCCTTGAGAAATTGATAGTGAGTAATCTTAATATTTAACGTTTCACACCGGATTATGTACCAATTCTCTTGTTTCCCTCGTAGCCAATTATCTCTCGTTTCGATTGAATAGGATCTTTGAGAATAATTCATATTACAGATGATCAGTTTAAAATTGATCAACACTGTTCCGAAATTCGATTGCTGAACCGAAAGGGAAATTTAAATGTGAAGGAGATTTTGATACTTAAACTGAAACTCACACTGAGATCTGCAAAGTGAACAAGTGAATGATTGAAAAGTTTTCAGATCTGGATTTATAAGTTGAATACTAATAATGGGGGAATGACAGGGAATCGAATCAATTTGAGGAATTAAAAAAAATGAGAATTGGCTTTGAAATGGATCGGTGTTAAGATGGGGGAAATGAATTGCTCAAGGAATTTTGCGGATAAGGAGAAATCAAAAAAACTCAAATTTGAAGCGAATATAGTTTGCTTTTACTAAGAATTATTCTGTATTGGATTGAGTTTTGAAAATTGACCGAAAACAGAAGGATTGGTTGGTTGTTTTTGTAAAAAAGATGCTAAGTATTTATTTTACTGAAACCAAAAATGATAAATATAAACACAAGAATAAAAACAAAAACATTTCGTCAGTTTAAAGCAATCAGACTGCTCGATTCGCCTCGTTCAACGACCCTTCGAGTGCTCCAAATTTCTCCTCCAATTCTTGATTCATTTTTGCGAATTTATCCCGATATGAATCAAGAGTTGACTAAAATTGAGTCATTAAATGAAATGGTTAACATTTCATGATTTTACCTTGATTCGGATTTCCTGTATTTTTGGGATTTGCTCGATCAATTCGGGGAGTTCACGAAGAAATTCTAAAAGAAAACTTTCTAGATAAATTTTCTTTGAGAAATTGATCGTTAGTAATTCTCGTATTTAACTTTTCACACTCCATTATGTACGAATTTTCTCCTTTACCTCGCAGCCAATTATCTCTCGTCTCAATCGAATAGGATTTTGGATTTTGGATTAAATCGTTACAAATTGAACATTTCATCCAAAACCATCCAGGAAAAGAATGAGCTGTCCGATGCGTTAAATAACATATTTTGTGCAAATTGCGTGTCCACAATCCAGAATAACGGGTTTGCTTTCATCGTTCTCCATCGAGTCTTAATACAATTTTTAGATTAATCTCCATTTACTCACATTTCACATCACATTTCGAACATTCGAGTGGGATGGTGATTGGCTGAAGATTTTATTGAATTTGGTAAATAAAAAAATAGCTTTTTAACCTCCGAAAGAAGCCATCCATTTCCATTCGGAGATTCGATAATTGATGGATTGTTTAAAAGATCTGAAATGATTCGAATGAGAATTCGTCAACGAGAGATTATGTAATCATTACCGCGTAAGAAGATGCGGTATTTGTAAGGATAATAACAAATCAGTTGAAAATCACATTGATGTTTTCTTTCTTTTTTCTCCAATGCTCCCTCTTTTCTCCAACATTCTCCACAAATCGCTTTTCCACACAATAATTCATATGGATATTTGGGATCATTACTCGATTTCGAATCTGAAAGCCATGATTTGATTTAAATACAAGAGAAAGTGATAATTAATATGACTGATTTCAGACTACAACTGATCATTTTCATCAAAAAATTCAACAAGAAAGTTTTGAATCTTATACAAACCCCTTTTCCTTTTTCTAATTGATAAAACTTACACGGAGATTCGCAAAGAGAACAGTTCAATGAGTGGAAAGTCTTCAGTTCCGAGCTCATTTTCTTCAAAAAATAATCGAATAAGATGACGCAGAAAGACTCTTGTGAGATCGATTTGGAAAGTGAGAAATGGAGTGAATGAAGCTGATGGGTCAATTTGTGATAAGAACAGGGGAAATGAATTGCAAAAGTATCGAAAATTGAGCGAAACTGTTTCCATTATCCATTAGGTTCTGGAGCCAAAAAAAACTTCATTTAAATGAACCAAACGCTTTTATTTCAACATTTCAACATTTCAACTTTTACAAGATTCTGGATTTAACACAAAAACATCAAAAATTATCATGGACTGAATGTAATGTTCATCAAAAGTTAATTTGGATCATTAAAATTCAGATCAATCGGAATCTCGGAATCAATAGGCGACTTTTCATTAGTCCTAATTGGAATCCATCTCATTGTTTCATCGAAGCCGATCGGTCTCACAATTTTCTTTTGACTTTTAACCTCTATTGGAATTGAGTGCATAAGTCGTAAAGTCTGATTCTTAAAAAAATTTTTGAGGTTAAAAGAAAAGCTCAAACTTGTCCAAGTTGTGTCAACTTTTCCAAAACAATTGAGGCAACGGGTCGGGAAAGACGATTGAAATCGACACATCTGAACAAATTGCAAGGTTATTTCCCTAAACACCAACTGTGCAACGATTTCCTGAAGTTCCGGCTGACAACTAGGTGCCGCAAGCTTGTCTATTTTCTTGTGATTGATGGCCGAAATGAAAAGGTCACGACAGAAACGGTCATTTTGGTTGTATTCTGAGAAAACGATTCTAAAAGGTATGGACACTGTGATTTTAGCAATATTTATTGACCAGGATTGACCCAATCGGGCCCTATGCTCTGCAATCGGGCCGGGTCAGGCCCATGCCCAGTTCTAGCGGACCCAGAAACTTTTATGGACCAGGAAAAGTCAAAAACAAGACCACACAAGACCATGGCTTCGCCTAGTCTGGCCTGGAAAACGATTTTGAAACACCAAATTACCTTCTCTCAATGATTTCCCACAAAACAAGGCCCAAACTGTAGACATCATTCCGGTGGGAAGCCTGGGAAATTTGCTTTTTAGAACTTGAAACAATTTCACTTCTATCGTGATTTCGTGATTGTCTGCGGGTTGCGGTGGACTCATGTATCGCTCCGTTCCTAGGAAGCTGCCCGAACATGATTGTTCACTGTATTTCACAAATCCAAAATCACCGATCTTTACGATGAAAACATTGGTGAGAAAAATACTGAAAGAGAATTTTCAGGTCATCGTCATTGTCAGTTAAAATTCACTTCTCTGGTTTTATGTCTCGGTGAATGACTTTGTGTTTCTCGAACATATAGCTGAGTGCATCGAATAAAAGTTCTCCCCAGCAAATCACGGTTTTCATTGTGTAAATAAGTTTTGAATTGGAAAGAGCTGAAAAGATGATTGTGAGTAGCGAAATTGATATGCAAATCACCAGCTTTAAGTGTTCCCCGTTCACAGAACTCCATGATAAATCCAAATTTCGTCGATTCTTCAATCCACTCATTGAACAGCAAAGCGACAATATTTGGGTGCTTGAACTTTCTCAGAACATCAATTTCCTGTTGAAAGAGCAACACTTTAGTTTCACTTGTACAGTTGATGTACTTGATAACAGCGGGTCTGAAAAGGGAATGATTTGTTATTGATGAGAAAAACCAACGGTACATGTCCAATCACTTCGAAAACTTCTCCAACTGCTCCACTACCGATTAAGCGTTTTTCGGAGATTAATAGAGTCTAGAATGGTAGCTTTGATAGTTGACTGGTCAACCATCAAATCTGGTCCAGCAATCTCTCTTGTTCTAATATTGGGCTGCCAAGTATGACATTTTGAAACCACAAAATTTTCAAAATTCACAAAATGGTTAATATTTCATGATTTTACCTTGATTCGGATTTCCTTTACTTTCGGGATTTGCTCGATCATTTCGGGGAGTTCAAGAAGAGATTCTAAAAGAAAACTTTCTAGATAAGTTTTCCTTGAGAAATTGATAGTGAGTAATGTTAATATTTAGCGTTTCATACCGGATTATGTACCAATTTTCTTTTTTACTTCGTAGCCTAAGCCTGGGATGCGCTCGATGATCTATTTGGTGGTCACCGTGGACGCCTTTTCTAAACGCTTGACAGCGTGCTCAGCTAAAAAAAATGGCGATCGCTTTGAATTTCATTGTTAATTTGTTGCTCATTGATATCAAATAAATATTTTAAAATAAAAATTTGTTCCCTAAGCTTTTTTCTACCTACAAAGCTTTTTATCTGCACCTATAATTATGGCCGACTCTATATATTCCCACCTGTCGGTTTCACATCAAGTTTCGCTTTGACCATTTCAAACCATTGCTTCTTGATTTCAGAAGTGGCTGCTGTTTGCTCGGTTGATGGTTGAGCTGTTGCACCAGCATCTGAAAAGAACGGTTAACAGTATTTTAAGAATCTCAATCATGTAGCCACAACTCACCTTTAACGCCCAAACCGTGAACGTCAACTGCCTCTTTCGTCTTTGGATCACAAATCAATAGACGCTGAAAGAAAGACCGGGTTATTTTTAGTGACATTCAACTTACTATTAGACATTCACAATTGTTTACGTTAACTAGTTATCCTTTATCTATACCTACCTTTCGTTCGCGAGCTACTGGCTTTTCAGCAGGAGGCATGGCGGGAGGAGGTCTCTGCATAGTGCTCTGCATTGTTTGCATATTTGGTGCCATTTGTCCTGGTATTCCCATTCCCATTGGATTCATATAATACTGTTGTGGAAATCTTTGAACATTCGGTTGTTGATGCATTTGGTGTCTTCTAAATCGAGAAATTATAGACTGAAAAAAACAAAAGTTGGCTTACGTGTAATTTTGATCCGTTGGTGGATTTTGATACCGGGTTTTTTTACTAGATTTATGGGCAGGCGCCGGGAATTGTTGATTAGTGATTGGTGTATACTGAGGCAAAGCCATTGTTAAATCTGGTTCGCGAACTTGGAGTTGTTGAGATCGATCACTAAAAGCTTTTCAATGAGAATTGACAATTGTTTGGCCAAGATTTGTATAGCGGCCAATAAAAATAGATAACGATGAAGAGTTGCCTTGTGGGAAAAGCTATGATTGTCAATGGCATTTCTGACAAATATCTGTTCATTTTCACTTAGGTAATAGTTGTATTCTATAGTTTAAAGAGCACCAAGAACCATCAGATTCTGTTCCACTTGGTGACATTGTTACAGTACAGGAACAAGCTTGAAACAAGCTACAAAAGAGCTTTCTAGTCATATGTCATCGGGTCGGCACATGCATTTTAGCAAACGGCTTTTGTTTTCTCAAGAGTAAAATCACGTTTTATCCACGTTAGAAAACAAAAGTCGTTTGCTAGAATGCATTTGGCGACCCGATGGCACATGTCTAGAGCTTTCGATGAATAAAATGTGCAATTTCAACTATTCCTCAAAACTTACGATGTAGCATGTCCGACATTCACATTCAACTCGCGACTCGGCACGTGCGCGATTTGATGTTGGTCGCCATTTTGATTGATCACATTGTTGCCGTTTAGTTGAGCTAAAATATAAAATACTTGCCATGTTAAGAGAGTTGATCTTTGATCTAGTTTTTTAGATCACTTATAGTTAATTTCGAACAGCTAACTCACCTGGATTTCTGGCTGTTTGGCTATAGGACGTCATCAAGTGTTCGAGTGAACTAAATTGAATATCGAGTTGTTTCATAAAGGATTCGTTTTTTGCGGACTGCTGAATGTCTATTGAAACTCGACCATTGGGTATTATTAAAGCTATGCAAAAGAGCTACCGTAAATACTGTAATAGTACCCCACCCCCCTCGTACAGTCGCGTAGTCGCAAAAGTTTTTTAGTATTTCATTTTTTGCAAAGCACCCGTACTTTCAAAAAAATGCGTTTTTGGTATCAAAAAATAGCCCTGAATTTCAGCTATTTTTTGATACCTAAGCGCGCATTGTAGCATAAAGCAGTGTCGAGAAAAACTCGTTCAAAGCTAGACTACGCAACGCTCCGCACCGTCATTATGGGGGTGGGGTACTATTACAGTATTTACGGTAGGCTTTTTAATGGTAATCTCTCAGGATATTACCATTAAAAAACAGGCACTCATAGTCAGAAAGGCTTGGCACTATCACGTACTAGTCTACGTTTCTAGAAAAAATGCATAGCTTGGTCAAACCTGGTCAATGTATAGGCTTTGTTATACCCATGTGAGATTTGGTGCTCGAGTTTTATCTATCGTTCATTAATCCGCGAAAAACAGCATTTTGAAAAACGCGAAAAACAACACTACGATTTAATAAAATTGACTAAAAAAAAATGGAATGTGCAAAGAGGAAAAGTTGTGCGAAAACACGTTTCAAAGACAAGAATATCGATCGAGAAATGTATGCTTACGTCAGTCAAAAACTCTATTTCAATTTTCTTGGATCAAAATTGAAAAGAAAAGAATACGGAGAAAAAGGGGACAAATGAAGAAGAAAAAGGAGCGATAAGAAGAAAGAAAATGATGAAATGGAAAGATTGGGTACAGCTAGTTTAATGCTATTTCTCACTACTTAACTATCGTATTGATTCGAATAGAGCGGTTCCCCGTTGTTAGTTGTTGAATGGAAATTCATTGTTGAATTGTTTCGGGTTAAAATGCGCATTTCTTATTGGGTCTTAATAATAATCCATGCACTCTTGTGCTCCATTATCTATTACGTTATAGCGCAAGCAGGGAGGTGTATACTTTTCATTTTTAATTTTCCAAAACTGGCAATCTGCAAGATCTTTTGTTGAACATTAAGCATTAAGCAGCAAATTTGTTGAACATTAAATATTAAAATTTAGCGTGCAACTCTAAATTTGCACTTATGCGCCAAAATTACGACGCACAAATGACGCATTTTTTAAAGTTTGCTGTTAAAGAAAAAAGTTCTGAAAAATATAGTTTTTTTTTCCGCTTAATCTTTACTCTACAGGGTGCGTCATAATTATTGCAACAAGAGTTCAAAGACCGTTTTCCAAACAGGAAAACGGGCGTGTCATGGGCGTGTAAAGCCAATAACAATCAAAATTGGACCTTCATGCAAGATGGAGCTCCCGCTCACACGAAGAAGACGGTTCAGGACTGGTGTGTGGCCAACTTTCCCTCAGTGATCACCAAGGATGAATGGCCTCCAAACTCACCGGATCTCAATGTGATGGACTTTTCCATTTGGGCAATCTTAGAGGAAAACACACAAGTTTGGATTCTTTGAAGAAGTCTTTGACCAAAGGATGGAAGGCGATTCCTCAAGATGACATTCGGGCCGCAGTGGAGGCATATTCGAACCGATTAAGGGCTGTTATCAAGACAAAAGGCGGTCATATCGAATGATCTCTTGTTTCCTTATTTGTTACTGTTAAATAAAGCTATTTCTGTTTAAAAATCTTCTTCTAGTGAAACTTCTTGCTGTGCAATGCCTTGAGTATCTTGTTGCAATAATTATGACGCACTCTGTCCTCCTTTAATATTTAGATGGGAGAAAAAAGTCGAATCGCCTTCGTTTGCCCCCAACAACTTCGGAATGGACAATTTGAAGAGGAAAATGGTGACGATGTTGATAAAGAAATTGTAGGTTATTTTGTTGTTTATCATCATAATTTTTATAATATTCTAAACTGAGCAACCAATTGCAAAAATGTGCAAGTTTTGTTACTCGGATGAGGTGAGGAATTGTGTTGTTTATCGTTGATTGATTTATTTCTAAACAGATCTATTCAGATCGCAAATGATGTCTGGATGCATCCTTGTCGATGTTCGGGTTCTATGAAATGGGTACATGGACGATGCTTTTCTTTATGCGTAGGCAAAGCCCCACGACAGCAACAGAATCAATGCCTTACTGTGTTTTGGGCGAGTATTGTTCAAAATCAAAAAAATCTCTAGGTTTTTATGGGGCAAACCTAAAAAAAAAATCAATGTAACACTAAAACTTTAATTTCGAAACATTTTTCATCGTGATCAAGTTAGATTTTTATTTGATACAAAAAGTCATTGTGAAAACCTGAGAAAACACTGTAAATGATATCTACAAAGTTAAAAAAACAAGAAATTTTGTGAAAAAGTGAAAGTTTTCATTACTCAACTTCGAAATTTCTGTTGTTCAACGCCTTCTTGAGTTCTTGAAATTTCTTCTCCAATTCTTGATCCATTTTTTTGAATTTCTCACAATATGAGTCAAGAATTGACTAGAATTTTTGGGTCATAAAGCAAAATGGTTAACATTTTATGATTTTACCTTGCCGGATTTCCTGTACTTTCGGGATTTGCTCAATCAATTCTCCCCGAATGAAGAAATTCTGAAAGAAAACTTTCTATATGAGTTTTCCTTGAGAAATTAATAGTGAGTAATCTTAATATTTAACGTTTCACACCGGATTATGTACCAATTTTCTTTTTTACTTCGTAGTTAATTATCTTTCGTGTCAATTGAATTGGATTTTCGAGAAGAATAATTGATATCACAAATTGAACATTCCATGTTTTCTACACTATAATTGAAGGGGGATCTCTGATTCTGGAATGGTAATTTTTGATAGAAAAGGGCGAAAAAAAAACAGCAAAAAAATCTTGCTGAAACTGATCAAACTTGGAATTGGCCGATGATCAGCTTAAAACTGATCAACACTGATCACTGTTCCCAAATTCGATTGCTGAACTGTAAGGGAAATTTAAATGTGAAGGAGATTTTGATACTTAAACTGAAACTCACATTGAGATCTGCAAAATGAACAAGTGAATGATTGAAACATTTTCAGATCTGAATTCATAAGTTGAATACTAGTAATAGGGGAATGACTGTGAATTGAATCAACTTCAGAAATGCAAGAAAAATGAGAATTGGCCTTGAAATGGATGGGTGTTAAGATGCAAAAATGAGAAGCTCGAAATACACAAGGACCTTGTTATTTCACCATACTGAGAGCATGACCTCTTTTCAATGCATGTCCGGTTTCACGGTCGGATTTGACCGTCCTCCTGGTCCTAGCCATTTCCGTTTTCGAATAGTATTATCGAAATGGATCCACTTCTCATCTCCAGTAACGAGAGAATCAAAAAAGCCATGATCTTTAGCGTGGCGGATGAGCTTTTGTAACTATTCAAATTCTACTATTGATGAGCATCTCCACGCCATTGGAAAGACGGTCAGATGCGGGAAATGGCTTCCTCACGAGTTAAGCAGTGAAAACAAGGCTTCACGGGTCGCTATTACCGGAATCCTCATCCGCCACGCTAAAGATCATGGCTTTTTTGATTCTCTCGTTACTGGAGATGAGAAGTGGATCCATTTCGATAATACTATTCGAAAACGGAAATGGCTAGGACCAGGAGGACGGTAAAATCCGACCGTGAAACCGGACATGCATTGAAAAAAGGTCATGCTCTCAGTATGGTGAAATAACAAGGTCCTTGTGTATTTCGAGCTTCTACAACCCGGCCAAACAGTCACATTCGACCTCTACAAACAGGAACTTGATCGGGTCAATGAAGCTCTCATTCGTTAAGGAGTATGCTCCCGATTTGGCTCCCTCAGATTACCTTTGACTCCGGTCGATTCAAAACTTTTTGCCAATGAGAAATTCAAAACCCATGAAGATGTCCAAAATTGGGCCGCCAAGTTTCTCGAGTCACAGCCGGCTGAGTTTTTCAAGAGCGGCATCAATTCTTTGTGCTAAAGATGGCAAGAAGTAATCAATAATAATAATTTTGGATTAAACTGTGTTGTTTCTGTTTTTAAGATAAATTTTG